AAGCAAAAATACGTGGAAGAACTAGCAACGACGGCGGAAAAAGCTGCAAGAGAAGGAAATATGAGACAGCTTTACGATACGACGAAGAAGCTTGCAGGGAAATACAGTAAACCAGAGAGACCAGTCAAAGACAAAGAAGGAAGACCAATCAGAGTACTTCCAGGAACTCCTGAATAGGCCGGCTCCAATGAATCCACCGGACATCAAAGCAGCACACACAGATCTTCCTATAGATGTCAATCCACCAACGACAGAAGAAATCAGAATGGCCATCAGACAAATCAAGAGCGGGAAAGCAGCAGGACCTGACAATATACCAGCTGAAGCACTGAAGTCTGACATCGAAGTAACGACAAACATGCTTCATCTTCTATTCAAGAAGATTTGGGAAGAGGAACAAGTGCCGATGGACTGGAAGGTAGGACACCTCATCAAGATTTTCAAAGAAAGGAGATCTGAGCAAGTGTGAAAACTACAGAGGCATTACACTACTGTCAATATTAGGAAAAGTCTTTAACAGAGTGTTACTGAACAGGATGAAAGACTCAGTAGACGCTAAACTTCGAGATCAACAAGCTGGATTCCGTAAGGACCGGTCGTGCACAGACCAGATTGAGACAATACGGATCATCGTCGAACAATCAGTTGAGTGAAACTCGTCACTGTATATCAACTTCATTGATTATGAGAAGGCATTTGACAGTGTAGATAGGAGAACGTTATGGAAACTTCTTCGACACTACGGAGTTCCTGAGAAGATTGTCAACATTATCCGGAACTCATATGATGGACTACAGTGCAAAGTAGTGCATGGAGGACAGCTGACAGACGCATTCCAAGTAAGGACCGCAGTCAGACAAGGCTGTCTACTCTCTCCCTTCCTGTTTCTCCTGGTGGTCGACTGGATTAAGAAGACCTCGACATCTGAGGGAAAACACGGCATACAATGGACAGCTCAGAACCAATTAGACGATTTAGACTTCGCAGATGACCTAGCCCTCCTATCGCATGCACACGAACAAATGCAGATAGTGACAGCCAGCATAGCAGCAGTCTCTGCATCCGTAGGCCTCAACATACACAAAGGGAAAACCAAGGTCCTCAAATACAACATGGAGAACAGCAATCTAATCATTCTTGATGGCGAAACTCTGGAAGATGTGGAATCCTTGGCAATTACAATGGAAATGCAAAACTATTGATGCTCAAGCTTCCGCTATAATGTTGTACAATAATACGCTTTTCCTTTGAAATAATACTTTAAATGGATTACAGTTTCACTGTGGTTTGTTGTGGAAATAAAGGCGAATATAGGAGACCTTTGGGGTTATGCCAATGGTGTTTTAAAAGTTGGATCAAAAACAGGCAATTCTGTGTGCATTTAGGCGAAAAGCAGACAATTTAGCGACAAGGTGACAAAAAGGGGGAAATCCGCATTATTTCCCTCGGACAGGCGATATTTTGGCGCGTTCTCCTCCTTATTTACCAAAGCATTTTCTTCCTTATTGGTTGATTGGGATCTGGCAGGCAAGCTAGTTCTATTGGCCATAAAAAGAAGTTGGAGGGTTATGGTCAGAGAGTAAAAGGGTAAGTGATTATTATTATTATTGTTTTCAATTTTCATAGATCGAAGTTTGGTGGTTGCAAGGACATGTTTCGTTTACGGTATGCTGTGAACCGGTTCGTCATATCGAACATACTTTATCGCACTCTACGCAGTAGAATCAACACACTCAGTACACTTTTCGGACAGACGACGGTGCAGGACACACTAAAGCAATTGATAGATAAAGTTGATGAATTAATACACATGAAGCGTTTGGCTGCAGTTTCCGAACATGGTACGTCTGTATTATTACTGTCTACTATGATATTAGCACTGCCCCAATAATAGACCTGATCCTAATATTGTAGATTGTTATGGTGTAACTGCCTAACCTATAAGATCTTACGTGGAAGCCACATCATCATCTACACCAACTCACTGCGTCGTAACGACTACCATAAAGTTTCATAGGGACCATAGTTATAAAGCTGAATGACTTTATAAGATCTGTGACGGCTCATTCCTGTTACATTCTAAATAAATGATAGTAATGGATTTAGTCAAGTGTGTTGAAAAGGTAAATAGACAAATTATATGTTTCTAAGGAAAGAATTTATGCAGCTGTGATTTACCTCGACTTCATAAATATCAGATCACGCCAGCTAATAAAACGTGTGCAAAGTACAGAATCGCACAGCTTTTATTATTTTGCTCCCACTTAAGTATTCCCATGCATCTGCGTCCAGTTTTACAGGAAGATATACAAGTTGATTCAGTATCTGGTAAACTAAAAGTTCCAGTTGCCAAAAAGACTCTTAACACTTGTCCACAGCCAGTAGCATTTAATCAAGACAGAACACTCCTCATCTAAGACTGTATACTGCTGTTCTGCAGGCAAATAAAAGCTCATACACTTAGCTACCCTGCTACCGATGTTATTGTTGGGGGAATTGTTTAATGACAGTGGTCTTGAAACATGGACAGTGTTAGACGTACTGTCCAGAAATAAACACCATACGTACTTAAAGCTATCAAATAATGTATGACATCAACAGTACCAAAGACATTTTTTCCCTATTTTTAATCAGACTGATTCGAATCAGTATACACATTAGAAACAGGCAGCTCTACTTACTAAACTGATCTGTTTTGTTACAGGCTTCAAGCAATATACTTAAGTATATCATAGTTCTTCCGACTGAACTGAATTATACGACAATCAAGAATACTAAACTAAGCAAGTGTCATAATTATTGTTTCATTTGCACACACATGTTGCTCAAAGTAGTTAAATGGACATAATTCAGCCGATAAAACCAAAACACGAAATATAGGCCAGTCGAACTTACCTAACAGAAGACAAAGGATATATATATATTGCTTTCAGACTGAAGACAACAGTCAGTTGTTCATAAAAACATAGTTTACATTACAAAAAACCTTCCTTCAGTAACATTATGCACTGACGGTCTATGAGATTAAACCCACTAAGACTTGGGATATCACCCCAGCGTTCACTGAATGTACAGTGTAACGCAGTCAGATGTGGCGAATAAAAATTATGACCAGAGCAAAATTAACAACATAATCTAGTTATTTAATTAAAAATACATTATGAAATAACAAAATTTGTGGTTACTTGAACGCACAGATGACTCTGAGCGATACATTAAGTTTACATGCTTGCGTTGCGGATAAATTCACCCGTCTTGATGTAGTTGTGTTTCCTTTTGGATGCTCCTTAAGTGTAGGTAATTATTAAAAGTTTCCACAAAGCATCAAATATACTTGCATAGACCCGTTTGGAGATTGATAAAATATCATCCTCAGATCACGTGATGAACAATTTCTGGGAGTTAAGCATACAGAACGCTAAACCCTCAGTCATTACGCAACGTAACAAAATCGAGAGCAGTTGTTATGGGAATGTTTAACGATTCTAAGTATTCAAATCTGATTGGATGGCATCAGAGAGTTACAATATGCAGTCATCAGATATCTAAGATTTGAGAATCCTAGTTGATCAATAAAGATCCCCTTTCTTTTTTATGTATTACTCAGCACTACCCGATGCAACAGTCGTCAGCATCCACGAAAAAAATTATAGGCGAATAACCAACCCGATTTCGAAGCGACAAAATAGAAGTCAATCGCTTGTGCACTAGCTCCTGTGATGCTGTCTCTTGTTTTATCTGGGCAGCATTATTCCGCAGTGTGACTGCTTCGTTAGTTGAAGAAGGAAACTAAATCTAGGCATACTGTTTCAAACAAAAAGAAATACTTAATGGTATCAAATGATTTGTGTTTCAAAAAATAGTCCGAAAAAGAAGTTAAAACACCCGGGTTAATTAAGGTTTAAAATTCTTGATTCTGAGTGACAAGTCACGTTCCCTGAAAAATAAAACTCAACCTGGATAAACCAGGAAGAAATAAAAATGCCGTGGATATTCGTTGTTTGATAACGCCCTTGTCTGTGACACCTACATATATGAAAGTGTGGCGGTAAATAAATCCCTAAAATAAATAGCTCTGTAAGTTTTCAACATTCGATGCTGACCACATTAGTTTTAATGAATTCATAGAGCTGAAGGTGCTCGGTCATGCATTCACACCAGTTCACGTGTGGGAACGCCGTGCTCAACATCTACTACAATCGCTAGCCAGATGAAATCAGACAATCCTCGATATATTGATAGCCTATCAAATGTATCTTTTGATTCATACTAGGTGTTACTGGTTAAAGCGTTGTCAAACTCCGAATACCTGTGGCATCTTCAAAAGTATTCCCTATATCAATAACTTTGGTCGTGATCATTGATCTGCATGAAAATAAAGAGATTATTTCTTAAATCTGTCAACGGGTCAGATCGGTGTGTGCCTAACCGCAGCTAGTTAATACGTAAACTTTTATACAGGTGCACTAAACTGGAATTAGTCCGAGTGAACTCGATGACAATCAAGTTGATGTGGAGGTTTATAACTAATTAACATGTGACAGATTTCTTCTTTTTTATCCATAGATGTAAATCTAACTGGAAACTTTTTAGAAACTTATGGTTTTCGTAAAATTCCTGATCATCTACTGTAACCTTGTCAAACTTACACCATAATAGCTAGATGACCGTAAACAAACAGCTAGAAATGGATTAGAGCTGCGTATATTAGTTATTACTTCTCGTTATTCGCCCAATATTACAGCAGCTCTCCTGTGTTTCTTGAAAAATCAACTTAGTGATTTACTGAACACTCAGTTAATAATTATCATATTTATAGAACATTTTTCTTTTGTTTCCCTTTCTACTTTCACATACTCACCTATTTAACAGAATGTACTAAAAATGTACAATTACAATAAAAAATCTTGCTTTGTGTAGGTTTATATCTCATGTCCAATCATCTGAAAAATTTTCAACTTAGAAATTTGTTTATTCTCATGAACCAACTTTGGTACCTCACTTTTGAAAATAGCGTTCCTAATGTCTGAGTGTGATGGTATGTTTTGTTTACCCGATCTAGGCCTACATTGAGACCGTTATGTTATTTTGTTGCTATTTCCGCCTTTTAAATAAAGGTTTTTAGGTGCTTTTTAATGTTTTCTGCCAGTGTTGCTTCAAAATAAAAAATGGTCCATAATAACTTAATGTATTCGAATACATTAATCTATTATGTACCAGCAACGCATGTTAGTACCCGTTTTTAGTATACTGTTTCATGTATCTGAATTTGACTTAGTTTGGCTTTTCGTACCGAACCGTTCCAGGTGACCTAACTAATTGAAAGAAAGCTTTTTATAACTTAAAAGACATACAGGGTAAGAATATTGTATATTGTTATGAAACCCTCATTTAATATAGCTAGACTGAAAAGTAAACCACCCTGGCTCTGTCATTCGTTTATATTGTCTAGAGGTAACGAGTGGGTCCTTTTACCTTTATATTGATGATTGGAAACGGTCCTGTCTTCAATGATTCTAGTCCCATCACAAATCCAGTAGTCCCAGTGGAGTCTATAGTTCTTTGGGTTTTAGTGTATTCCATTGTAGTTGCTTTTGCCTCATATCAGTAGGCTGAATTTAGGGGCTTAGCGAACTTGTAACCACGTGTCACGAAGTATGGGGTTTCGCTTATTAATAGTCACCCATACTACATAGGAAATCGTGCAATTCACTTGACGGAACTATGGCGACAAAACTCTAAGCCTTATTTAATGTTCTGACTGATGATTTCAATTATCATGCTTAAAGTATTACGTCTACTGGATCGACGATGTTAGGGTTTATGGTATCAATAAAGAGCTGTATGATTGAAGAAACGTAACAATTACCTTTAGGATTCGCCGTAAATGTACATGGTTTGGTTGTGGCTCATTCATAATAACTATTACATCAAAGTTACAAAAAATCCACTAAACTGAATGGGATAGTATTGTAAGGATTACAGGTCAACGACAAAATGGACATGAGTAGTATTTCCTAAGGTTTTATTTTACTTTATTTGGACACAAATTTTGGTGCAAAGGAGCACAATATACATATGCGCCGCACAACTCACTTGATTTGCGTGTGGGCTGTGATACTACCCGGGTGCCCAGACCGGAGCAGGTGTTTTCCTCAGGAGGCCACACCCGGAGTCTTTGACCTAGAGGTCTGATCCACAAGGCAGTGGAGCATCGTGAGGAGATGCAGTCTCATGGTAGCCGTTGACCAACGATTGTTTTATACGCCATTTGTTCCTTCAGGATACTGGAACCCATGTGCACCATTGGTTTGGAATCAGGGTTTTCCAACTCGTTTGTGCTCTATCCGACTAAACGGAATAGTAAGGACTCGGAAGGATAGGGACACTCGTCGTTGTCTCTGTCTATTCTCCCACTAACTGCACCTCAGATAATGTAAAAGATGAGTTTTACAGAAAGCTTTTTGATCTTCAAAAAGTTAGGCGTTCTGATGTAATAATAATGGCTGGTGACTAATGCTCAAGTAGGTAAACTAAGCGAAAGGAAAAGGCACCTGGATGGATCTTATGGTGTCGTGGCTCAAAGAACAGATAATGGAGACCGTCTGTTGTAGCTGTGCTCTGTTTCTGGTAAATACTAACTTAAAGCATAAGGAAAAACATCTTTTGACACGGCAACCCCCCTAATTCTTCCCAACGTTGGACCCAAATAGATCACATCGCTATCAACCACCGATGGAGGGTCTCTATAAAAGACTGGCTCATTCTGAAGCACATGCTTAAATTCAGATCATGTTCTAGTGCGAGCGCGTATTTGTCTACGCCTTACTGGACGTAGGAAAGACGCTGCAAGAAAACCTCTTAGGGCCCTACTTAATGATGGTTAAGCTAAGAGAATATTTCAGGAACAACTAGAAAAACAGTTATACAGCCATGCATATAATGCCCACCCCGAGGGAGCGTGGAATGACATCTGAAAAGCTGTAGATATGTGCTAGTACGGTAAACCACAAGGTTAGGGAAAAACAGTAGATCTGAGCAGCATCTACCGCAATAATGAATGCTCGAAAACTCGTTCCATCTGGCTCTGAACATAAGGAAAAGTGAAGTCAGCTTAAGCGAAGGCTGACAAGAAGCCTACGCAGTGATCATAAACAGTAGTGGGTAGCGAAAGCAAGAGAAATGGAAAAGACAGCGGCAATAGGTAACAGCAGGCAACTGTTCAGACTTGTTAAGGAAACCGGGATTAGGAACCCAACTGTTAGCGAAACAATCGCAGATAAAGATGGACATATTATTCATTCTCAATCCAGGAGATTGGATCGATGGGCAGAACACTTTAGGGATCAGTTAAACTGGCCTTTAGCCGCATTCCGACTACCCACGATCTCCAGTCGACCTGAATGACTAGTTGATGTAAGTCCTCCAACTCTTTACGAAGTTGAGAAAGCTATAGGAAATCTGAAGTAAGGGAGAGCGGCAGGTCCTGACAGGTTTACTTCTGAGATTTTTGAGGATAGTGGTCCAGTATTAGCAGTGAGATTGACTGAGGTCTTAGGTAGAATTTAGGAACTGGACGTAATCCTATCTGACTGGTCTCAATCACTGATTGTGCCAGCCTATAAGAAAGGACAGAAGTCCTCTTGTGACAATCACAGAGGAATCAGTTTGACGAATATAGTGTCTGAAATATTAACTTCAATAATACTTCGACTCCTAACTAAAGCTCGTAAAGAGCAGACTAGAGAAAACCAGTCTGGTTTTCAACCAGGACGTGGTTGTATAGACCAGATATTCACACTACGTCAGGTCCTACAATATAGACACACATTCAGACGCCCCACAATGGTAGTATTTCTCAACCTTAAGGCGGCATTTGACTGTTGATCGTGAGGTTCTGTGGCAGCGTTTTTCACTGAAAGGGTTACCAAAGAAGTACATTAACCTTATAAAGGCTCTCTACTCGAACACAACTGGTCGAGTGAGAGCTTATGGTGAACTGTCATCAGAATTGATTATCTCAAGTGGTGTTCGTCAGGGCTGTCCACTCTCTCCATTCTTGTTTAACTTTGTCGTTGATGTGTTTTTAGAAGTGCCACTTTGCTCATCTAAATTTCCAGGAGTTGAACTTTTACCGGGAGATTCACTTGTTGACTTAAAATATGCCGATGATATAGTTCTATTTGCTGAAGACGCTGACAAAATCCACAGTCTTCTCACCACTATAAGCAACAATGCAAGCATGTTTGGAATGCGATTCTCTCACTCGAAATGCTAAATGTTATTTCAGATTCGCGTGGCATCGACACCTGAACTAAAGATAGAGAGTGAAGTAGTCGAGCGTGTCGAATGCCTCACTTATCTTCGAAATCTCATCAACTATTGAGGTCGGATGTGTGACGAAATCCCAGCACAAATGCAGAATGCTCGACTAGCTCCTGCCAACGTGCGTCATTTATGGCGTAGGCGAGGTATCCGTCTACCAAACAAAGGACTTGTTTACTGCTCAGCAGTTCGTTCCGTCCTACTTTATGGCAGTGAAACATGGCCGGCAAGAGTAGAGGATATTCGTAGGTTACTAGTATTTGATCATAGGTGTCTTCGAATGATTGCTCGTATATCCTGGGACCACCGAGTAAATAATGCAGTTAGTAGGAATCGGATATTAGGTAAGGATGAGAAATCGGTTGATGAAGTAGTGAAACTTCATCAGTTGAGGTGACTGGAACACGTGTTATGTATGCCCAACCACCGACTGCTCCGGTGTGCCATGTTTCATGGTGTAGGAGAAGGTTGGAAGAAAGCTAGTGGCGACCAGACCAAAACATGGCACAAATCCGTGAAGTCACTGACAAGCGGACTGAGCCATGTTGGTAGGTGTATACTACCTGGTTGGGGTCCGCGAGACGATAGCAACCGATGGTTAGAGACCTTGAATGACATGGCTCAAAATCGTTTGCAATGGCGCAGGTGCACCCACTGCTTGTGTTCTCCCAAATTCTAATCTTCTGAATTCTTCATGTCCCTTTCTTTTTTCTCTTTCCAAATTTATTCCACCGGATTATGTTCTTTGAATAACATCGAACCCTAATCTTTCCGATTACTACCTCTACTACTATGGGATTTGAATTGACAATTGTGTCTGTGTGCTAATGTGGTATGGCAACTCGAACTGATGTTTATACGTACGAAGTTCTACTTTGTTACTAACTGACTGATTTCCAACTTCCCTAGATAGACCCTCTATACCCACTAACCCAATTAAAGCGCTGAGAATTCGCTTTTCATTCTCTCACTTTCGTAAACAACACCCCCGCCGCGAGGCGGTGAGTAGGACTTCCTTGGTAGTTGCTGTATACACGTGGCCGTGCGAGAACATTTTCAGAGGGGAAGCTGACTCCACCCTCAGCCGTGCCAGGGCATTTAAAGGAGTTTGGTTTAGAACAACCAAGAAACTCATCTCATTCAAGAAGATCCACCCCATCTTTGTGAAGAATGTGGCAGCAAGCTATGCCACAACTGTCATTGACTTAGCCATGGCAGTCCAATATGTCTACTTTTTGTTCCGCCCCCAAATGCCCTGATATGACCAAAAGAGGTGGGCCCGCTCTCACACGGCCACGCGTATACAGCCCCTGCCAGGGAATCCCTACTCACTGCCTTCTCGTGTCGGTGGTATTGTCTACGAAAATGAGAGGACGAAAAGCGAACGTCCGGCACTTTAACCGGATCCCAAACCAATGGTGCACATGGGTTCCAGTATCCTGAAGGAACAAATGGCGTATAAAACAATCGTTGGTCAACGGCTACCATGAGACTGCATCTCCTCACGATGCTCCACTGCCTTGTGGATCAGACCTCTAGGTCAAAGACTCCGGGTGTGGCCTCCTGAGGAAAACACCTGCTCCGGTCTGGGCACCCGGGTAGTATCACAGCCCACACGCAAATCAAGTGAGTTGTGCGGCGCATATGTATTTGGTGTGCTCTTGTACCAATATTTATGTATTCAAATAAATAAACTTTTTGTTCCACTACTCAGTGTCAAATTAACCATACCTAATGTCGACCAGTCAAATGTAGAAACCTCTTAAATTGAGTTCAAAATACGTCCTCAATCTACCGCAATCTTTTCCAAGATCGCATCAATTTAATGACCCTCAATACCCGTAAACACTGCCTGACCTCGGCAATACGTGCCGTTCTGCAGTGATTAAGCATAGAAACTCACTGAACATCCTCGTTCCTCACAATCTAGCCTCCAAGAGCAATAAGCAGAACTATAAATAGACAATATTTACGACTAGAATAACGTTTCAACCGCTCTAAAGATGACAATGTCCAAACATTTGACAAGCGGGGATACTCAATTAATGCACCCAAAAACGAAATCAACCTACTCCCTAGGCAGTCTTTCTTATATTCTGCACAAACTACATAGTATTAAGGGAACCAATATTACATATGTAGTTGAAAGCAAACTTTTACCTCGATAATTGTGACATGCTTTACCCCTTTTAAATATATGGACGACGGTTGCTTCATTCTGGTATAGTAAAACAGCCTTTGTTTGCCAAATCTCAAGTGGTCCTGTCTTTTTCGTGTTCAAAATTTCATATTCATGACGATTTATTAGTAAGTCTCTCAGGCGTCGTGATAATCGAGTACTTGGTTAAGTAATAGCTTTCGATGCCAAGTTCAACCAATTTTCCCATAATCGTGTCTTTCGACCATGGTTATTGTTCCTCTTGACTGAAGACGAGTTTTGTACCCGCTAATAAATAAATAAAGCTTTTGAAATGGCGAAATTTGTGTTTATTCATTGTATCGAAGTCTAAGTGAGACGTAATATATTTAGATCCAGGCCTTTGTTGCACTAATTATAGTTACTGAAATATGTTAAATTTACCAGAATACCACACAATAGCGCGCAATAAAATAAGGCTTTATCAAAGGATCTATGTATCGTAATGATTGGTTTCAAAAATATGCAAACGTTAAATTGCGTTAGCTCACTCATTATGTACTTGGGTATGAGCTTAAACCTAAGTGTAAGGACTACTACTACCAAGTCTCCCTGACCAATGTAGGGGGGGGCCGAACCCAAAAGTATGTGCTTTTGTGACTAGAATTTCAGATGTTGGAAATTATGGGCTAAAGACTGTGGGCAATGTAAATGGAATCATAGTAATACAAATGTCTTTCTCCACATATTTTACATAAGGTTTGTGCGCATAGATGTTTACTATCCCTCTATACTTTTCCGATTCGTTCCACTTTGTTTCGTTTGTAACACCTTGTCTACTATAAATAAGTGTGGTGGTTTGAACGAACACATTATTTGGATTTTTTTGGTTCTGTTTATTTGTTGTTAACCCTTACAGCTTTTGTATAGAGACTCAATAACAACTCCGTTGTCTTTTCGACTTGTTTTGCCATTTCTCGTACTTTTAACAGATCACATTCATGCGACTAAAAAGTTCAAACACAGTGAATCCAATGAGAAATCAAATGAAAATCATGACAAGCGTAAACAAGTTGATGCACATGTTCAAGCTTTCCTCAAGGCTGTACTTGATCATGCTCATGGTGGTACTGTCAGGCAAACAAACAATCCAAACAAAAAAGATAAATCTGTGATAAAAAAGGATGCTTCCACTCAGACAGAAGAACAGATTGACTTGGACTTTGAATCATGTTCGTACAACCCAGATCAGTCAGTTTCTGAATATCTGGGTTGCAACAAGAATGAACAAAGTAGTCGAGTTCCTAATCGAGAAATGTACAGCGAGGAAGCATTAAATTTACTTTCCCAGCAGAGTTTTTATTCTGAAGAAGCACAAAACGATCTCTCTTTTAATGACAACTCCAACCATTGCTATTCCACTCAATGTGATACTGGTCTCTTAAGTCATGGTGTTAGTAATAAGAGTACCCGCATTTCTTCTAATAAGATCAAAAGAGCAATAGACGAATGGGTTAAAAAATATGAAGATTGGTTTTTTCAAAACTTTGGAATGGATGTACGAACGGCTTCCCATTCAATTGAATCAAAACCTGAGAGTGAACTCAAACAAAGTTCAGAAGTAATTATTGGTGCTCAAACATTGTTCAACACCAATTCATCCGATTCTCAAATGCTAAATCCTTGCGTTATATCACACTCACCTGTTAGTTATTTCATCCCAGAGGGTTCGTTGTGCACAATCGATGGTAGGTTTTCACCATACTACTCCCTCGTCCCTTCATTTTACCTTTCCCCAACTTTAAGCAACACCCCCCTCGGTTTACACTCTAATATGACAGCTTTCAACTTCGGCGTTGGCCTACCATTGTATCCAAATCATACATTTATCCCTACCACCATTAATACAACCATGCCTAATGCAGTCGTTTCATACCCATCGAATTTCGCCAACCAGCTAGGTGCTTCTACAATGTCATTTCCACCAATTGTAACCAGCACCACTACAACGTGCAATACAACAAACTTTCATGTAGGCACATCCTTTCCTATACCTCCGACTATTCAACACAATCACTGCATCACTTCCTTCGCAGATCTGCCCAGTGAGTTACAAACATCTGCAATGCTTGCCACTTTAGCCCTTCCAGTTGCTGACAGTCAACATAGCTTAGGTCAGTGGGGACCACATTTAAAATATGGGACTTATGGTCGGCTCCCATCTCCCCTTGACCTAGAAGCTTTTAATTCCCATAAACAGTCATCTGAGTTCGGGCAAAATCAAGCGAACCAATTATCCTATTCATCGCCTGATTTATCAAACAAATCTCCCACTGCTTCTAATAAATCAGTGAAAATGCCTCCTCCACCCCCCACCTTCATTCTTTTAAGAAGGCAAGCAATGGTCTGTGCACTCCAGGTAAGTGAGCGTAAGCTGTATATTTTCCTTAACTCACCAGTGGCCATCGTCTTAATCCAACTTTGCTACGATGCATTAAAAGTGTAAGGTGGCATCAGTGTTAGTGGCCCCAATGTAATGTATTTACTACCATATAGATATTAAATCCCATAATTCATTTGTTCGTTCTGTAGTTCGGCGATTTGGGCTAACGCACATTTTTACCACACTCTATATTATGACTAACTTTTTTGTCAATAATTTTATTTATTTATTTATTTGAACACATAAATATTGGTACAGGGGGGCACCAAATATATATGCGCCACACAAAACAATGATAATTTGAAGAGAAGGAGAAAAGAGAAAAAAAAGTAATGAACGTGGGGAATTATAAAAAAAAGGGGAGAGAGAGAACAATGGTGGGGGAAACGGAAAGGTACAATCACAAGAGATCTTTCAGTTAAGGAAGATACAACCACTTTTTATGAAGAAAGTAAGAGGCTACAGCAGGATCGCCACTGGCTTCTATTCTTAGCCATATCTGATAACGTCTCTAGCCACTGCGTTACACCGTCTCTCGGACCCCAACCAGGGAGTCGTGAAGGACCAACAGAAGCTAGCTCTTTGCAGCTTTCTTTCATACCACGACACCATGTCATCTACTGACCACCTCTCCGCTTTTTCCAACCAGTCCCAGAGTCGGCAAATAATGCACGACAGGTAATTTTCTGGGACGACATTCATAGAACATGTCCAAGCCACCGAAGTCGGTGTTTCAAGATGGTGACACCAATTTCATTATCGTCTCTGTGGCCAAACACTCGATGCCGAACCTCTGCATTACTAACATGGTGTTGCCACTGGATGCCAGCAATCCTTCGGAGACAACGATGATCGAACACAGAGAGTCGTCTAACATCCTCAGCTCGGAGAGGCCAGGTTTGACAAGCATAGAGCAGAACTGCTCTCACCGACGCGTTGTAGATCCGACCTTTTACAGCCAGACTAACATCACGAAGGCGCCAAAGATGGCCCAGATTGGCATAAGCCACTTTGACTTTCACTATTCAGACATTGATTGCCAACTGATTAAGTGCGGATTGCATGGCTTGAGCATTATCGCACAGTAAGACAATATCATCCGCATATTCAAGGTCGAGAAGCCTTTCTCCAGGCAACAAATCCACACCACCATTACTTACATTTATCAGAGCTGTTTCCAGAATGTCATCGATGGCAAAGCTGAAGAGGAATGGTGAGATTAAGCAACCCTGCCTAACCCCACTGCCCGAATGGAACAATGGAGAAAGGTGATTGTATGCCCTCACTCTGCCTGAGGTGTTTGTGAATAGGGCTTTTAGGATGTTAATAAACTTCTCAGGCTCACCCTTCTTCAATAGACAATCCCAGAGAACTGTTCTGTCCAACGAATCGAAAGCAGCCCTGATATCAAGAAACACTACGATTGTTGGCCTTTGATAAGTATGGCGATGTTCTAACACTTGGCGGAGGGTGAAGATATGATCAATACATCCTTGACCCGAACGAAATTTAGCCTGCTCCTCGCGAGTCAATCTTTCTCGGGTTTTGAACAACCTACGAAGTATGACGGAAGCCAATAGCTTGGACGCAATCGGAAGTAGACTTATCCCCCGATAGTTGTTACAGGAACGACGTGAACCCTTTTTAAAGATAGGGACAACTATCGACTCATTCCATGACGTTGGTACACTCTCTAGTTCCCAGACCTTTGTAAACGACGTCGTCAGTCCCTTAGTCAAAAAGTCACCACCATCTTTAAAAAGAGCCGGAGGTAAGTCATCTGGGCCCGGTGATTTGTAACGTTTCAAGAGTTGGAGTTCCCTTCAGACTTCCGCCTCATTTGGTGGATCAGTCGTCACCGGCCATGGAGGGCAGGACAGTCTGACCGATGTTGCCGGAGCAGCAGGCCAGTTGAACTGCCCTTCGAAAAGTTCTGCCCATCGTCCAAGACGTCGATGGATGTTAGTGATTGGCGTTCCGTAATCCTCGCAGATCGTTTCGCTCACACCAGACTTCTTGCTGCCAGTGGCTCGGATGAGTTGGAAGAGCTTCTGGTAATTACCAGATGCAGTTGCTGCTTCCAGCTCGTTAGCACGCTCCAGCCACCAGGCTTCTCGGTCCTTACGCAAGCTTTGCCCGGTTTCATTACGTAACATCCTTCGTTTGTGGTCAAACTCACGGTCACCCGGAGTAGACCGACGGGCTTCAATCAGTTGTAAGGAACCAGAAGAAACCCAGTGCTTGTAAGCGGGACGTTTCGCGAACCTACACCAGACTTGACCCGCCATTTTCATGGCGTCATGCAATTGCAACCAATGCTTATCTATACTTTTCGGTGGAATGGTAGCTAGCCTAGAAGCTAGCTCGATTCGATACTTACTAGCAACAGAAGTTGCAACCAGCTTGCTAACATCAATCCTTTGGTGGCTGTCACTTCTTTGTCCACTGAAAAGTAAGGTATAATTGGCGCAGACCAGAGCATGATCAGATTCCAGATAGGTACTCCAAAAGGAGCGGCAGTCTTGTACACAACCACGCCAGCGGTAGCTGATCGCGATGTGATCAATCTGAGTCCAGGCTTGAGATGCAGAAGGGGGACGCCAGGTGGCACATCGGCGATGACTGTGCAGAAAGTTAGTGCTAGCCAGAAACAGGTTGTGGTTTGTACATAGTTGCAGTAGACGTTCCCCGTTATCCGTCCTGCGACCAACGAGTCCCCATCGGCCACCTAAACGACTCTCTTCTGTGCCTAGACGCCCGACCTGAGCATTCAAGTCTCTGGCTAGTACTACAATATCTGTCGAACGCACTTTCTGGAAAACAGTTAACAGGTGGTAGAAGTCGTCCTTGATTGCATCCGGGCTGCAATCTGTTGGGGCATAGGCGGAGATGACGAAAAGACATCGTTTCTCACGCCGATTTCTTCTCACTTTGATGGAACTTTCTAATCTAACAGCACATAACCGACTGTTAATGGGGATCCAGTCGACTAGTGCTGCCTCAGCTCTTGCGCTTAGTGCGACACCAACGCCAGCAAGACCAGACGATGCCACAGTGTTCCCGGATAAACGCACATAAAACAAGCTTTTTGAAGCGACAGATGGAGAGCGAACTTGTAGTACTTCACCAGAGTCTTGAATACGGGTCTCGGATAGACAACAAACGTCAATATTAAGACTTTCCAAAGACATAGCCAGACCTATCTGTTATCCGACCTGCATAAGTGTGCGAACGTTGAAGGCAGCCAGTTTGAATGGTGTACGTGGTTTCAGAAAAACTGCTTCAGTACTCGTATTCGGTGGTAACATACAATTTTCAACCAGGCAGTGACTCGAAAACGTTTAGATAAAGCTGAATTTTCACCATAGGTGAGCTGCTGTCTAGGTCGAAACGGATACATAAAGTAGGAATAAGAGAGGGTGAATGAATGACGTGGTAGAGTAATAATAATAATAATACCACTCATTTCAATGTTAGTCGGAGAGAAACGAATATTTTCTATAAGCAGATAGTTCATCATAGTTTTAGTGTGTGGGCTGGGATACTGCCCGGGTGCCCAGACCGAAGCAGGTGGTTTTCTTAGGGGGCCACACCCCGAGCCTTTGACCTAGAGGTCTGATCCACAAGGCAGTGGAGCATCGTGAGGAGATGCACTCTTATGGTAGCCGTTGACCAACGATTGTTTTATACGCCATTTGTTCCTTCAGGATACTGGAACCCATGTGAACCATTGGTTTGGAATCAGGGTTTTCCAACTCCCCTAGGTGGACCCTCTATACCCACTAACCCGGTTAACGCGCTGGACATTTGCTTTTCGTCCTCTCAATCAAATTTCACTCCTTCATGAGCTAAATTTTATTTGTTGGTAAATTTATTTAACATCATAATTATCCTATATCTTCAGAAATGTTGGTAACAGTACATTTCACTCTCATTTTCTTCGTTTAACATACAAACTTAATGTCTATCAATTCATCCATCCCACTATCTGTCTTTAATTCAAAGCTATGTTGTCGGGAACGTGGAAGTGAACTATTTCTTCGTGAAAAGGAAAGTTGTAGTGGCTTATCAATTGACTTTGTGAAGGAACTAGCCCAAGTAGTTGAATCCAGTATTGGCCTTCGGCCCACATATATTTTTACAAAAATCACAGATCTTCCCCAGAGGGAACGTTCTTTCTTTCTGAATCCTGAAGTTCAAAAATATCCTCAAAATCACCTATCTTCTGTAAGTGTTTTTCTGTAACTTTACGCTTTTAAGTTATCACTACTAATCGTCCTATTGCAGTTTGCATAAAGCCGTTAACTAGACTAAATTTTATGTTCCTCAATAGTTATTAGTGAGCCACATCGATAATATTTTAGGAAGCAGGGGAGTTACTCAGAATTGTAAATATTTTGCTGATAATTGTTAAGTGAGATGCTGTGTTCATGGTCTTCTAAATATGCTATGTCTATTGATGAGCTACTAAGCACTATGTTATTTCGTGTTATATAGTTGATAGTGTTCAGTCAGGACTAAGTCCAAACAATAATTTGATCATTATTTGTGGTCATTTCTTGCAAACATGTTGCTTGATTGTGTCATATTCATTTTTCTCTGAATATCTTGAGTATTGTTGGAGGTATAAGGGTGGCTATCACTTCTCCGTTTACCATACCGTGAAAGAATACTTCTTGAGGTATCTGGAAAGTAAACTGGGTTAGAGAGTCTTAAAACCTGGGAGCGTGATCTCAGAGCCCAAGGGACAATTGCTTGAAGTCGATCACAGCCTTTTATGTGTGTTAGTTTCGTATTTTTAAGCCCTTACAAACCAACGTTACTTGCTTGATTTGTTTTGTTATATACATAGATTTCAAATACCGAAAAAGCATTTGATATCAAACAATTAATTGCTTGTGATCTTTTGATTGGAGATGTGCTAATTGCAGAATCACTTTCAGCATCTAAATCCCTCGCACAAATCTGCACTGCGCGACAGGTATGAGAATTTAGTTATCTTATTGTTATGAATATTCACATTTATTTGAAAATAATTTTAACCACTAACGGACATCAGTTGGCGAACCACAACAGACACTTGATTGCTATCTCTTTTTAGTTCGTGTATCTCTGAGAGACCCCATTTAAAAATAATATTTTAGTGCTCTCCAAAATTCTTAGGTTTACCTACATACCAATTGTTCCTGTCAACCTTGAGCTGTTTTTTGTATGACGACTGGTAATACAACTTGTTTGTTGAACACAGAATTAATGTAGTGGAATTTGGACGCCCTACTCAGTAATGGAAATTTACTTGCTGTTACATCCGCTTAGCTAATGGACCATAACTTTCGAGTGGTCGTCCAACTATCATTGAATAATTAAGAAGAGAAATCCTCACAGCCACTTGACTGAATAGATACATTCACTGTCTAGAAAATCCAGTCATGCTACTTTAATTTTTATAACTTTTTCCTTAATAGTGATAATTGGAATTGTCGATTTAGCTAGAGTGAATTGTTTGCATTATTAAAAACCAAAGTACTGGAGACCATGAAGATTATCCTTCAATAGTACTTAAGTATCTCTTTATTCTAATTCATTCTAATTTGTTTGTTTTCCAAGTAGTAGGATAATAGCTTCGTTTAATTTGGTTTGGCTATCGTTTAACTGAAGCACATCGTTGAGTGAATCGAGTAGTATAATACTTTTTCTTCTAAAGGTCATTGAAAACTAAATGCTTAGTTATAGAGATCAATGATCAATATAAATTAGATAACCATTGAAAACCTGAAATCACTGGGCAGCTGATAAGTGTTGTGTCGCTGATGTCACAAAAACTGCATTTATCAACAACAGTCGAATTTCGTTCTCTCCACCCATACACACAACACTGAAATTTTCTCCAAACTTCTTGTTCACTGAATTCATGTCAAGGCATCTGATTACAATGAGTCACTTTGAAATGGAATAACTAGGGTAAAATCAATTGATAAAGTTACGGAGTTTTCCTCCTCCTGAAATTTTTATTTGCGACATATATCTCCATGTATTTCAAACTTTAATATAACCATTCTCTTGCTTGTATTCTAGGCTTTTCAGATTTTATCTCGACCTTGTTTCCTTGTCGGATCTGTACGTCAATGGGAGGAGGTGGAATACTTGGTTTTATGTTTAAGTCCGAAAGCTGAAATAGTTCCTAAACTATCTCCATTTCTCAAGGATCCTTTCGAATCCAACTTCGAAAAAGATGGTGAATTTGAAGGTGATGGGAGCATCACCACAGTATTCACCCCTAAACCATTTGATGATATGTGGATTTACCTAGCACAACTTCCAAAAGAAAAATTACATGATCAGGTACTAAACTCTTACTATTTATTACTAACGGCATTATGAATGTTGCTGGATTAGAAGAAAATAAGTAATATCAGTGATTATGTCCGTCTAAACTCCTATCTTAGTAAATAGTTTTCAGTCGATGCATCATCATAAAAACTATGTTCTAAACTCTTTATTCGTGCTTCCTGTATTATAGACGTTTTGTACGACTCAATCTCACTGCTAGAAACTTCATGAAAACAATCTCATATCTTGGTCTTATCAATTTTAACCTTTTTAACAGCTTTTATAGTACCCAGCATGATGCTACATGAGAAGAGGAGGCTGGACCTGTGTAATATCTGTTCTATTCATATCGACAGATGGAAGTTCAATACTCTATAATCCTATTTATCACATTCATCCAGTACTTTGCGGACTTGCTGATTCAACCATGCCCAAACACTACTTAAAAGACACTCATGATTGAATGTCTTCAAACTACCCATGTTTATGATGTAATATGTAGTGGACTTACAAAATATACTCCCTGACAGGTAGATGAGCGTTACCCGTGTACAACATTTGTTGGCGAATTTTAAACGTGGTTTCTATTCCCTTTGAGACGTCAGGTAACGATCCACCAATGCTGATAATGCTCCCAAGATAAATGGATTACCGAGCACGCTCAGTAACCTTGTTCCCTATTGCAAGTTGCGGATAAACACAGATCATTCCCAAAACAAAAATTTGTACTGTTTTTAGGAAACCACATCTCTGTACTCTGATCGAAAAGGACTACGTAATATGCACACTCCGATTTAATGAAAGTATCTTCTATCATGAGACCCAATCGTACAAGTGGAACTTAGTTTATATCTTTTACAACTAGATTCATGACTAAATCAGTAGAAGTTAATGAAATGAACTTTCCTAACGTAGTTACTTTCATTGATAACACTGCCTAGTTATTAAGATTTTTGGGATTAATTCATTATGACCTGTTTCTCAATATCATTTGAAATTACTTAACCTTCAATGCCTCGCTAAAAAGTAATTTGTCCAGTTCAAACCCTAAAGTATTTGCTCAGGCATTTTAATTTTCTTAGACCCTTACCATTATCAGAACGCACCAAAATAATTCTTACAACACCATGACTTCCCTCTCTGTGTGTGTTAAAAAATGGCACGTGTAAAAATCAAACAGTTGCAACACTACACTGAACCAACTACATACATCGTTATCTTCTTGAGTTCTTACGGTGCCATCCATTCAGAAAGCGCTTTCAACGATACCTGGCTATCTTAGTTCGATTGTAAAATAGGTTAACAATAGTCGTTAGAAAAAACAAATGGAATGCTTATCCAACATAAATACTGGGATTTACCAGTTCTTCAAACTGTATTCGATTAAAAAACGCTCAATCTGGCGTAGTATATGTAGCTACACACTTTACTCCTTATCGTCCTTATAAATAATCAAATCGTTCTTTTTATCAAATTTGATAAAATTGAAATCTCTATGTCAATAGTCCTCATTTGTCAAAATATGTCACCTAACCACCAACCAATCTATGTTCACATTTTTTGTTATGGTTTGCCCAGTATTCTGATATAAAATCTTAACATTTACCACTACGATGTTTTAGCATCCTTATCCATATCTGTAATTTACTGTTGATTTTTGTAAAGTTTCATCTAGAGAGAATTTTGGCCCAGTCTGCTGAATTCAGTCAAATGCTTATCAGCTTTGAATTTGAAGTGCAAACAACCACTGGTCAAATTATATGTAATACATTAATTGATAATCAGCGTTGTTTAAGCGTTGAATGTCCAGATCTTCATGGTGCTCAGCAATCGGCACTGAGTAGTCTGCTGAATAAATTATGTGCTACTCAACCTGTGGTTGGTTTAATATTCTCACGGGAAGGTAAAGTTGCCATAGGCCAGTCATCAGCTGTATTTTTTCCCTTAATTGACTGTATTTTTTGTAATTGTACCTTTAATACATTACCTATTGTACTGTTTTATGAATATACGAATATATTTCTTCAGTATAAACTGTGCCTTGTTTCAATCAGTATTCTTTTTTGATCATTTCTTTCTCTTTGTATATATGTATGATTCAAGTGCGCTGTCTACTGATCTTTCTGTTTGATTTGTTCTAATTTTCCTATATATATATATATATATATATATATATATATATATATATATATATATATATATATATATATATATATATATATATCACTCTTCTGTTATTGCTATGTCGTTTAACGTGTCACATGACGAAGGAATTTAATTATTGACTGAAATAATTATTTTTTGTAATTAGGTAGACCCTACTGATGAGTCCCACTTTAAAATTCGGTTTTCCCCATACTTGCAATACTCTGTAACATTGCATTTCATAACTTCCGAGCCTTAGCCTTATATCCTAAATCTGACCCTAGATAATCGTTTAGCGACCAATCCCATCGATATAAATTTCGATATCGGCTTTCTTTGACAGTTAAAAAGTAATCTGGTTGCATTAGTATATTAATTTCAGGTCATGCCATGAGAAAATTGGACTTATTATCCACGTCTTCAGTCAAACAAATCTGGTTTCGGTTCAGTTTACTACATTATTTAGATCAATCATCACAAGTTTCGTCTATTGCAGTAATTGTAAACAATTAAGTCCATTACTATCTTTCAACAAACTATTAGTAATTAGGTCTAGCTCGTAGTACACTTCTAAATGGTAAATTCTTTCTTAAATTTCCTTAATTATTTGTTAACGACTTATATTCAAATGTTCCCCACCAGTAACAAAAACAGAATGCACACTCTTGGAGAGCTTCGTACTAGGATAAAGTGGACGTCCAGTGCTTCCGGTTTTTCAGTGGTTGTCTTACTTGCGTTGCTTTGTGATTTGAATAAAACCCAATAATCTGCATAACACCATACTGACAGAGATCACTACAATTTTCCCAGACGAATATCTCACAATCGTAAACTTGTGTATTAGAGTCCTTTTTAAGCCGCATGTAATAATGACATCTAAATTATTTGATCCAGGTGGATTTTTTCAGTAGAGCAGATTAGAGAATAGCTAACAGATGCCAAACCAAGACTTGACACCAGCCCATGAGAAAACTGATTATTAGACTTAGTCTGGTAGGTAGGTGCAGACTACCTGGTTGGGATCCCTGTGATTATCGTAACCAATGACTAACAGCTTTGAAAAGCATGAGTGAGGATCGTTTGCCTTAAGCCAGGTGCATTCACACTTTGTCTTCCCTTGGATTCTTAATTACTAATAAATAGCTTTAGTTAATCACTCCGTTTGACTAGTGGTTACTGCAAAAATGAAATTAATCTTAATTAATGAAAGTTTGTGGCTTATTGTAGAAATTTAGGTCTCCATCCTTCTACAAACTCCATAAACACCAGTTGAAAGATGCTGTTCATCTTGATGTTTATGCATGAGTGTTAAGTGATATTACTCCTATTTTTTCATACCTAGGACTATAAATTAGAGAAACATCAAATTAAACTACCGCTTCTTATTCTTATATCATATATTTACTAACCTCTGTATCATGGACTGTTGTGATGAAATATTCGCCTAACGTTTGATAAATTAGTCTGCTTCATGTTTATAATCACAGTACCGAAACGTTTTTTTACTAGTTTGTAATTCCCCTGTTATCGGCCTATATTTATATGTTTGGGCATAACTGTTTTTCACTTACAGTCCAATTTACCGTTTAGAATAAGAAGCTCTCATTTCTTGTAGTTTTTTGTTCAACATCGAATAAGGTTTGCATATGTCTAATTTTTTGGATGAAAATGCGTAAGTCAAAATTTTAGAAAATCATAGAAATATTTACCTACTTATTTGATTGAACCACACTAATGGCATCTGTTTTATTGGTGAGTTTATTTAACTTTAATCATAAAAGCCTTTTGATGATGGAACTACAGACTCATATTACTGAATTTTGTATCAGGTATTTTATAAAAATGGAGACGAGTGTTCACATTTTATTGCTATTGACTGTTTCTGTTCTCATACAGCACTAATAAATTAATTCAACTTAATGTAATCAGATAATTGTTTGTACTACGTCTGTACATAATGTCTGATGTTCACAATTCGAGGATCTGTTATAGTGTTAAAACTGTTCTAATTTTGTGTTGTTTATCTTATCTTGCTTATACTTTGATGTTTATAAACCATATGATTTCCATGCATTGTGAATTATTATTGCAGAAGAATTCGATGATGACACTTCTTCATCTCTCTGGGGAATTCCTGAATACCTTATGGTTGAAAATCTCATGTGGGGTAAAGAAGAACTGGATTCACCAATACATTTTGAACAACTAGAAGCTCACTGTGAAATTCCAACTCTTTCTCCAACACATCTTGTTTGTGATGGTACGTGATTTACTCATAAATTCTTGAACAAATCATCAAAGTTTATTAACTTACATGATGCATTAGTGTCCCTTGTTTCCTATAAAAATTATGGTCTCCTAATCTATTCTCAATTTGAAATATCCGCTTACAACCTTATCGAATATATTATTTCCAATATCGGTAGTTGAATTGCAATAAGACGTTCTGATCATTACTAGTTAATCATTAAAACTTAAAACCCTAGTGATTTTCACCCTCACTTCTGTTTATTGACTGTTGATCCTTTCACTTTGGCGTTCAAAATCATTATTTAACATAAACTTATAACTATTTTAGGATTCGTGATTACATTCTGCAAATTCCGTTTACCATGGGATGTGACCTTCGGTTTGGGCACCCGGGCAGTATCTCAGCCCACACACAAAAACTTGATGAACAGTCTACTAATGGAAAATATTCTTTTCACCCCGTTTAACAATCAAACAACTCGCATTATTATTATTATTATTATTATTATTTACTACGTCATTTATTCACTCTCTTTTATTCCTACTCTATCTATCCTTATTTTTCGACTTCTACAGCAGATCGCCTATGGTAGAAATTCGGCTCTATGAAACGTTTTCGAGTCACTGCCTGGTTGAAAATTGTATGTTACCACCGAATACGAGTACTGAAGCAGTTTTTCTGAAACCACGTGCACCATTCAAACTGGCTGCCTTCAACGTTCGCACACTTATGCAGGTCGGATAACAGATAGGTCTGGCTATGTCTTTGGAAAGTCTTAATATTGACGTTTGTTGTCTATCCGAGACCCGTATTCAAGACTCTGGTGAAGTACTACAAGTTCGCTCTCCATCTGTCACTTCAAAAAGCTTGTTTTATGTGCGTTTATCCGGGAACACTGTGGCATCGTCTGGTCTTGCTGGCGTTGGTGTCGCACTAAGCGCAAGAGCTGAGGCAGCACTAGTCGACTGGATCCCCATTAACAGTCGGTTATGTGCTGTTAGATTAGAAAGTTCCATCAAAGTGAGAAGAAATCGGCGTGAGAAACGATGTCTTTTCGTCATCTCCGCCTATGCCCCAACAGATTGCAGCCCGGATGCAATCAAGGACGACTTCTACCACCTGTTAACTGTTTTCCAGAAAGTGCGTTCGACAGATATTGTAGTACTAGCCAGAGACTTGAATGCTCAGGTCGGGCGTCTAGGCACAGAAGAGAGTCGTTTAGGTGGCCGATGGGGACTCGTTGGTCGCAGGACGGATAACGGGGAACGTCTACTGCAACTATGTACAAACCACAACCTGTTTCTGGCTAGCACTAACTTTCTGCACAGTCATCGCCGATGTGCCACCTGGCGTCCCCCTTCTGCATCTCAAGCCTGGACTCAGATTGATCACATCGCGATCAGCTACCGCTGGCGTGGTTGTGTACAAGACTGCCGCTCCTTTTGGAGTACCTATCTGGAATCTGATCATGCTCTGGTCTGCGCCAATTATACCTTACTTTTCAGTGGACAAAGAAGTGACAGCCACCAAAGGATTGATGTTAGCAAGCTGGTTGCAACTTCTGTTGCTAGTAAGTATCGAATCGAGCTAGCTTCTAGGCTAGCTACCATTCCACCGAAAAGTATAGATAAGCATTGGTTGCAATTGCATGACGCCATGAAAATGGCGGGTCAAGTCTGGTGTAGGTTCGCGAAACGTCCCGCTTACAAGCACTGGGTTTCTTCTGGTTCCTTACAACTGATTGAAGCCCGTCGGTCTACTCCGGGTGACCGTGAGTTTGACCACAAACGAAGGATGTTACGTAATGAAACCGGGCAAAGCTTGCGTAAGGACCGAGAAGCCTGGTGGCTGGAGCGTGCTAACGAGCTGGAAGCAGCAACTGCATCTGGTAATTACCAGAAGCTCTTCCAACTCATCCGAGCCACTGGCAGCAAGAAGTCTGGTGTGAGCGAAACGATCTGCGAGGATTACGGAACGCCAATCACTAACATCCATCGACGTCTTGGACGATGGGCAGAACTTTTCGAAGGGCAGTTCAACTGGCCTGCTGCTCCGGCAACATCGGTCAGACTGTCCTGCCCTCCATGGCCGGTGACGACTGATCCACCAAATGAGGCGGAAGTCTGAAGGGAACTCCAACTCTTGAAACGTTACAAATCACCGGGCCCAGATGACTTACCTCCGGCTCTTTTTAAAGATGGTGATGACTTTCTGACTAAGGGACTGACGACGTTGTTTACAAAGGTCTGGGAACTAGAGAGTGTACCAACGTCATGGAATGAGTCGATAGTTGTCCCTATCTTTAAAAAGGGTTCACGTCGTTCCTGTACCAACTATCGGGGGATAAGTCTACTTCCGATTGCGTCCAAGCTATTGGTTCCGTTATACTTCGTAGGTTGTTCAAAACCCGAGAAAGATTGACTCGCGAGGAGCAGGCTGGGTTTCGTTGTGGTCGAGGATGTATTGATCATATCTTCACCCTCCGCCAAGTGTTAGAACATCGCCATACTTATCAAAGGCCAACAATCATAGTGTTTCTTGATATCAGGGCTGCTTTCGATTCGTTGGACAGAACAGTTCTCTGGGATTGTCTATTGAAGAAGGGTGAGCCTGAGAAGTTTATTAACATCCTAAAAGCCCTATTCACAAACACCTCAGGCAGAGTGAGGGCATACAATCACCTTTCTCCATTGTTCCATTCGGGCAGTGGGGTTAGGCAGGGTTGCTTAATCTCACCATTCCTCTTCAGCTTTGCCATCGATGACATTCTGGAAACAGCTCTGATAAATGTAAGTAATGGTGGTGTGGATTTGTTGCCTGGAGAAAGGCTTCTCGACCTTGAATATGCGGATGATATTGTCTTACTGTGCGATAATGCTCAAGCCATGCAATCCGCACTTAATCAGTTGGCAATCAATGTCTGAATAGTGAAAGTCAAAGTGGCTTATGCCAATCTGGGCCATCTTTGGCGCCTTCGTGATGTTAGTCTGGCTGTAAAAGGTCGGATCTACAACGCGTCGGTGAGAGCAGTTCTGCTCTATGCTTGTCAAACCTGGCCTCTCCGAGCTGAGGATGTTAGACGACTCTCTGTGTTCGATCATCGTTGTCTCCGAAGGATTGCTGGCATCCAGTGGCAACACCATGTTAGTAATGCAGAGGTTCGGCATCGAGTGTTTGGCCACAGAGACGATAATGAAATTGGTGTCACCATCTTGAAACACCGACTTCGGTGGCTTGGACATGTTCTATGAATGTCGTCCCAGAAAATTACCTGTCGTGCATTATTTGCCGACTCTGGGACTGGTTGGAAAAAGCGGAGAGGTGGTCAGTAGATGACATGGTGTCGTGGTATGAAAGAAAGCTGCAAAGAGCTAGCTTCTGTTGGTCCTTCACGACTCCCTGGTTGGGGTCCGAGAGACGGTGTAACGCAGTGGCTAGAGACGTTATCAGATATGGCTAAGAATAGAAGCCAGTGGCGATCCTGCTGTAGCCTCTTACTTTCTTCATAAAAAGTGGTTGTATCTTCCTTAACTGAAAGATTTCTCCTGATTGTACCTTTTCGTTTCCCCCATTATTACTAGCATTACACTACCCTACACTAATCCGGTCGTTATTGATTTTTTTCCCTTCTATTTAAATTCCTCCTTTTTTTGTGTGGTGCATATATATTTGGTGCCCCTTGTCCCAATATTTATATGTTCAAATAAATAAATACAATAATTAAAAGATGTTGATTGTTCAGTATACAATTTTGGTGCATTTTGTGATTACTTACTGATTATCATTATTCAGGATTATAAAATGACATAATTCTTAATTTTTGAATAAATAACCTTTTGTATATTTTATCTTACTTTAGGTGCAGATACTAATAACAATCATGATGGAATATATTGTACTAATCGATTCTCGTCGCCTATTATAATAGAAAGCTATCTTCAGGCGTATGCTGCTTCAGCTTTAGTCTCACCGATTTGCATATTTCCTACTGTCGTTCCCAGCAGTCTCTGGCCAGTCGTACAACAACATGCTAGGCGTTGGGGTTTGTTAAGTCGGGTGGAAGTAAAGCGTAATCCAGAACATTCCGGTTGTCTTATCGTTTGTAAACGAGTCCCACTCTCTCGATTAAAAAGATCACTATATGATCAACAACAATATGGTTGCTTTTGTTTAATTGATAAAGGCAATCTTACAACTGAGGCTTTAAAGCGTTTGTATCAAGCTGATCCACTTTGTATTAGTGAGGATGGTTCAATAACACCAAACGATAACATTCAATCATCTGATCATGCAAGTAACTTCAACTTATCTTCGTCCTCACCACCAACGTATTTTAGAACATCAGACGAGTACAATGATGAACCGGTTACTCGTTACGCTCGTGAATTTCTTTCTACACATAAAACACGCATCAAAACAGAATCTAATGAAGATAATTGTAATTTAATCAATGATGATTGTGTACTTGTAACAGCAGAACTTAATCAACCATCAAATGCTATTGAAATATTAGATGATCTTCCTAAAACACTTATACCGGGTATAGATTTTTAGTAAAACTAGATCTTTCTTCAACTTTAGATATTTTGACACCCGGTACAATTCCTTAAAATATTTTTTTTTCCTGACTATTCAATGATAACAAATTAAAGAGCATTTTTATAGTTTTGCATTTACTCTAACATTCTTTAGTTCTCCCAGTGTTAATTCGTATCATCATTTTCGTACACCGTGATGTACCACAATTATTGTTTTGTATAAATGATTTGTTTTTTTTTCGGCGATTGTGAATCATCTGTCAAATCATGATAATAATTTTTCTCGATACTTCGTTCTTTTTTGTTGCTATTTTCTTTCTTTCAATTGTTTTTTTTTGTTCGCAAATCGCATCACTGGTTTCCCCTACATTACAGGTAACATTAGACGGTAAAGACGGATGATTCATACGGTAAACATGTTTATTTGAATTGTCACAGTATTTCTATAACCAATTTTGTATGTTAAGATGCAAAATGACTAATAATTCTGTTTGTTTTAATTGTGCTATTTATTTTATCGGAAATCCATCTTATTGGGTGATTCTGTCTATATCTTACATTCAACTATCCAATTTAAATCAGGTGGTAGTGAATATTGACTCATTTTATTATTATTGTTATGAGTCGTGTTTTCTTGTTACCACAAGTACATTTATCTCACATACTTATATATGATAGTATGTATTGACACAGGTTACTAAGAATCAAGATAAGGACATGGTTTAATAGCATATTAATTAATATAACAAATATCGTGTATTAATGTGTTTAACTAAATTAATTTAGATCACCGTATTTATGATCTAGTTTCACTTGATTCAACACGATGTCACTGATATTCTACTTGTCATTCTAGGATAGAAATTTACAATATTTTGAAAATCGATCATAGTAGTTCAGTTTTAAGTATTTTCATTCGATGGGACAATCGTTTAACTGGTTACCCTAACCTTTCTCATCATAACATCTAATAATCATCATTTAAGTGTAAATTAAGTTATTTTCCAAATATTCTATGAATTTTCCAAAATGATCTATCATTGTTCTCTTCTTAACAAAATATTCATACTAACGTCAAATAATTAGTATTCACTGATAGATTGGATCAGTACTTTAAAATAAGTAGGTTGCAAATATCATATCGAAATAATACTGAATAGTAAGTGAAAAGTCATTGTGTAAACCTCACTATTGTATAATCTCACATAAATTGTTAAGCATGTCCACTGGGTTCTCAGCTTTGCTGTTTGTATGAGATGAAATGACTGGGTTAACAAAAAATTGTCACAGTATTTGTTGAAAGTAGACGTTAGTTACAAAGGCAAAGGGGGGTCAGTCAGCTACAACGTGGGACCAAGCACATATATGCAGCGGTCCAAGTTGCCATACCTCATTAGCACAAGATGAACACCAAATTCATACATGTGTGGTGTGTGCTACTTATGTAGACATAAGTAGTATATAATGTTAGTCGTGAACAAAATGTCTGGCAACAGAGAGACGAGAAGACCGAACAGTAAGGAATGAAGACAGAGTGCAATTTGTATGAAAATGCAAGAACAAAGGAATTCTGAATCATTTGAGACAACTGATGAACATTTTGCAAATTGAGCGTTTAATATATGGTTGTTAGATTTTACTAACTAGTTCTGTAATTTTTTATCAAGTACATTCGATTGTCTCCATTGGTGTTCTTGTTCACTACACAAGTAGTTACTGCAATGGTAGTAATTTATAAAAGGAAAAAATGTGTATACGTGTATAGTACAGGTAGAAAGAATTAGTTCGTAAGAAGAAAGGCACGAAGAAGTTTTGGTCTGACAGTTTAAGGTAATACAAATAGTGTATGCAACGATTAACAAATTTCAAACACATAAACGCTTGATGGTCCACCTTATTGATGTATGCGTTTTTCTAGTCATCTTTATTAGTGTGGACCAGCTTACGTACGTTCAACAATTCGTTATTCTGTTGGTAAGCAAGAACAAATTCGAATGAATGGGGACAATTATGACTTGTCCCTAGTTCATACTTAAACTGGGTGTGAAATCATAACTACAGGAGTCAGATTAAAATTAACTAGTACACTTGTATAATGCTTCCCAAACGTATCACGGAATCAAGTTTCATGTTGAATACATTTCTAATATCCTGAAAAAGTATTTCCAACTAATTATTCAGCCAAGTTTTTCGTTCGAAGTTGTGAGTGTAAACTTTCGGATTTCTACATAATGACTTGGTAGTTTTGTGCTCCTTATGCGTCATTAAATTCTTGAAGTTATGTATGTGTGCACCGCTGAATGGTCTGTAACCGAAAGCCAGAATCTCTAGGTTTTGTTAGTTTCCCATTTCATGTTAATTCCCGGGTGAGACCTGTCTTTAACTTAAAAATGATCTTTACCAGACACATCACAATGATAGACTTGTGATATACGACTTGGTAGAAATTAGAATTTCACATCAGGAAGTTAATTTTTCCAAACTCAGGTATTCAAATAAAAATTTCAGATCAAATTACGTACGCACACAATTCTAGATGTTTCTTTGAAATGATATGTACAAGAAGTATATTTGTATTCATATCTATGTAGGTGGTTACAAGTAAATTTAGGATTTGAGGTATGACAGTAATTCAATCTATAGGTTTGTTTTTGAAGAGCGTGTGTGATTAAATCTCGTGGATAATAAGGCCTTTCCCATTGGTGGCAAAAGGATTTAGCGCTATAGGCGTAGGTTATCTGTTTGGAGCATGCATATAATAATCCTAATTAATGGCTATACACTAGAGTATATGATTTAACTTCATTCACTGCTCGTTTCCATTCTGAACCGAGGTTCCGAAATCTCCGGATACCTTTTCTTTCGTTTTCTACCCCGAATCATTTGTGCTATGAGATTTGTTTCGAGATTTTATTTACATATGTTAATTTGTTATGGTAACTTGAACTGATTCACATGTCTCAGGTTCTACGTTGCACAGACTATATATGAACTACTTCAACTACTCATACTTTTTTGTATTTAACGATGCTCTTTTGGATTATTCGAACATTTTATATATCAATGTATTGATTGTTCGAATGAAGCCTCTGATACGATCACTGACTTGTGTAATTTTTATGTTTTGTGAGAATAATATGCACCTCTCTGAGTTGAGATTTCACAGGTAGCCTCTAAAATAATGTACATGTTAGATGCTAGGTTTTAACGTATCGACAGTTCTGTATTAAAATAAACGGAGCTATTTGTTTAGATTAAAGCATTTTAGAGTATATTGATTGTTTTGTAGAAGGTTTAACTTATTTGTTATCTGAAGAAGCAACTTAAATAAACTCATGTCACGTTGATTTTCTACTCAAAAATGTAACAGTTTTACAATAATGCGTTTTGTTATCCCCACCAATTGAATTGCTACTAAATTTAAAAATATTTCAAGAAACTCGTTAAAATTTCTTACAGCGTCTTCCATCTCTAACTGTTATTAAAGCAAGGACAGTCGCTTTAGAACAACATCAATCTATCTATATGATGGGTTTTCTTCATCTGAATGCAAACTTGTGTTAGGACAAGATATCTCTCCAGATGATATTTTAATTCAGTTTAGCACTTGTGTTACTTCAGTATTTTCCGCACTAATTTATTGTGACATTCGTCTCAAAATTTATCTGTACTTCCCAATTGTCACTCTGAACTGTATCTCAAGTGTATGTCAATTATTCTTAATCTTCATGAATCAAAAATTTAGTGTTTAATGGCAGTTTAAATTTAAACAGGATACATAAATATATTATTGTAATATGTTTGTGGAGATTGTCGGATTTCATTATTTGCCTTACTGATCGATTGTAGTCCATCAAGTATTTAAAACTACGAAGCACTGTATGGTTGTTTCGTTCTAATACAGGCATCCTCTGAAGTGCACACCTATAACCTCACCAGGGATTAAACCCAGCCCTATCACCTCTACTACGAATGTTCAATCCTTAAATCACTAAGCTATCATCTAGTAACTCACATTTTTATCTCAAAATAATTCTCTGTATCGGAAAACCATCAAAGCAAGCCAAACTTAACCCAGCATCCTATGTCTTCGAAACAAGAGAAATTCGGGTAGTTTACAACCCTTTACGAAGCCTTTACATTGCTCAATCATACAAACTTTAATTATTTCCAACGCATTTAGTTACTACTTAAAATATACAAGTAGACAATGTGATTATTACTACAAAAATGGTTTTCAATTGAAAATAAACGTGGAATCTGGGGGTTTACTGAATTGTTTATTTCAGTGTTATAAATTAGTGTTATTTATAGTAAGAAATTAAGTCACGTGTGTGCTGACCT